GGCGCATAGGGGAGGGGGGAGTGGCAATGTGACGTAAACCCATGATGAGATCACAATGCCGCCCACCAAGCACGTCCCTTCGAACCATAAGGGATATTATAGTTACAATACTGTGTGAAAGTAAATTACAGTGCCTAAGTAGTGTGGTCCCTACTGTTGTAATTAACCCAATCAGTCCCTACTTAACAATTCACATATGCAAGAATGATTAAGGTGGGCCAGAGGACCCAAGGTTAGAATTATATTGGGTTAGTGGTAACCCTTCACAGTATGCTGACCCAAGTCAGAATTATATTGGGTCAGTAATAACTTATATTGGATTAGTTATAACCCTTTACAGTAAATTCCTGTCTGCAATGTGAAATGAAAAATAGTAGGGACAATAATTGGTTAATGTAACTCAGTCATACAATAAGGTAGAGGGAACCTTTGTTTGATCTAATGCGATCATCGCTATACGGCCGTATGTTAAAGAGGCTACATACAGGATAAGATTAAAGTGTAACTAGTATAAATTACTCCTACTATCCGTAAAAACGGACAGGTAGGGTAGTCCTTGTGATATGATACACATCAAAAAATAGCTATAATTACAAAAAAGCGGCAAATGAAAAGCCCTCATTTAAACCTACGGGTGAGAGGGTCTTAAGTCTGTAAATCCAGTAGGATTCTCGTTGTCTCAGCTTTAGGTCCCAGTCCCCTTTTCGTTGAGTCTGTGGGATATGTTCAATTCCCATAAATCTAATCTTTTTTGATGAATTAGAATGATGTATTTTCAAATGACGGGATATCGGAGTCTCTGTTTACAGTGCTGAGGTACATGGATTGTTTTTGTAGCTAACTTAGATAGACCTTCATAGATAGGGAGAGATATATATTGTAGGCACTTGTGTTTTTTCTCAGTGCCGAGGTATAGATATTTCTTTACCCATTTACCCACTTATTCCTGTCCTTTTCTATAGTGTTCTAGTCTTGGGCTTGGATTTTGTGAGATTTCTTTTTCTTTTCATCTCTCCCCTTTAGGTCTAGTATATGGGCTCATTTCCCCCATTAGCCCTAAGCTTTTCATTGTTATTACCCGTTTTCTCTATTCTCAACACTTTACTTATGCTATCTAGACTTGCATGACTTTTCTCTGATATAGCCTGGTCTCTCTCTTTTGAGTGAGTTAGCATTTAGAATTTGTATTTGTGCTGAGGAATTAGCATTCAGGTTTTGAATGCAAGTTTGAGGAACTACTGCCTCTTCCAACACCTCCCTTATTTTCTGTCCATTTTTTATATTGCTCCTCTCATTAGGTTTAATAAAGGTAGGGCTCCCTCTCCTTGTCTAACTATTCTTTCACTTAGGACCTTATGGTCTCACCTTTTTCTTCCTCTAATCGTATTTTGTGGGTTATTCCCCGTTAGGAAGAATAGTTCTAGGGCAGACACAGACCTTTGGGCCAATTAGGGACCCCAGGGTCAGTGTATATCCTTACTCTTTCCTCTCTACTAATCAATGCAACTATTAAGCAAGTCATACAATTGTCCACACAATTAATCAACATTAACTAACTGATAGCATAACATTTCAACAATTTCATCTCTACAGTCAGTGGTTATGGTACGGTTGGTAACTATTATACAGTTTAGACAATTATGACTTTAAAGTTAGAATATCAGTTAGTACACATGCAAGGTTAATCAGTTATTTTAGTATTTTTCACGTAATATCAGTAGTTATGGTACAAGTTAGTGGTTATGGTACTGTGCGCTATTTTACACTATACACACAATCTACATGTCCGCTAAACGGCTGAGCTCAAGCTTTCTGGCAGGACATACATTTCACCAATTACAGCGTATTTTACAACATTTACAGCAAACCCAACTACTCTAATTGGCCAGCACCTCGAGAACTATCGAACTATTTACACCAGGATTCGGTTAGTCTACGGTGCCCAAGCACCACATATAGCGAACTAGTGGGCGGAATTTACAACAGTACACATTTAGTCTATCTACTCTATCAATAGTCTAGAGGCTGAATTTACAACCAGGGAACACTTAGCCAAGATAGGTTGAGAACTAGTAGACGGAATGTACACCAGAATCTGCTTAGTCTCGCTGGCCTCCCCAACCTAGCGACCAAAATTTACACCTAGACACACTAGTCAAGACAGGACACCAATGTCCGGCATAAACTATTTACACCAAGATTTAGCCTGAACCAAACCACCTATATTAGACAGGCTGTCTACAGAGCGTCTAATTTCCAGATAAGTGGTGCGCCTTCGCTTCTTCCCTCCAGATGGAGGAGGTAATCCAATAACGGGTTCCAAATACAAACCCCTTGTGGGCCTACTGTCTAGAAACATAGAAACATAGAATGTGACGGCAGATAAGAACCATTCGGCCCATCTAGTCTGCCCAATTTTCTAAATACTTTCATTAGTCCCTAGTCTTATCTTATAGTTAGGATAGCCTTATGCCTATCCCACGCATGCTTAAACTCCTTTACTGTGTTAACCTCTACCACTTCAGCTGGAAGGCTATTCCATGCATCCACTACCCTCTCAGTAAAGTAATACTTCCTGATATTATTTTTAAACCTTTGTCCCTCTAATTTAAGACTATGTCCTCTTGTTGCGGTAGTTTTTCTTCTTTTAAATATAGTCTCCTCCTTTACTGTGACGGTATAATCTTACCTTTTAGTTCCTGGACCTAGGCTCACACTCATCGACGGGGCACCCCGGTACTTACTACGTAAAGGCCGATGACCTCCTGGACAAAAGGCCAGTGGCACCGAGACGAAAGGAGGTCCACGCAGAAGTTCAGGGGTGCTGCCGTGGAGAACGTTGGTAAAAGTTTACCGCTTCAAATCTCTGTGCCAGCTTCTGTGCGATGAGGTTCCCGGACCCAATGCACTCCGGTAACAGAGTTATTCCTCCTCTGTTACCGGAGGAATAACAGGAACAAACCGCAGAAGCCACACATAGAGATATGGACACAAGTCTTCAGGAAGTAACAGGTCTTTTATTTACACACCGATCGGGTCTCAGATAAACTCCTGTTCCAAAAATATCTGAGAGGCAGAAAGCATGGTTCAGAGGCCTTTTGTTAGCAGCATTTCCCCTCCCATACAGTATAACCCCTCCTATATTTCTCAGACCAATCAGCATACAGGATATTCAGGATCACCTTAAATGGGCAGACCACATGGCATTTACAGACAAAGAATGTACTATCCACTTCCACACATGCTCAGTATACTGATGACTCATCCAACTGTTTGTAATCAGATACTAATTAGCATATGCCATGTGGAGATTTCGGCCTACTAAATTTTGACCATGCTGGAATCCCATCACAATAGTACATTTTGGGGCCTGCTCTTCATATCTGAGAGTCAAATAGAAGCGTCAAATAGTGCGCTTACAGCACAGTTTAAACATTCTAATTGTTTTGCTCTTAATCTGCTAAATAGTACATTTTGGGCGTGCTCTTCATATCCGAGAGTCAAATCGAAGCGTCAGATAGTGCACTTACAGCGCAGTTTTAAACATTCTAATTGTTTTGCTGCTAAACTACTAAATAGTACATATTGGGTGTGCTCTTCATATTTGAGAGTCAAATAGAAGCGTCAAATAGTGCGCTTACTGTGCAGTTGTAAAAATTCTAATTGTTTTGCTGCTAATCTGCTAAATAGTACATTTTGGGGCCTGCTCATCATATTTGAGATTTAAATAGAAGCGTCAAATAGTGCGCTTATGGTGCAGTTGTAAAAATTTATATTTTCTGGGTGCTAATCTGCTAAATAGTACATTTTGGGCCTGCTCTTCATATCTGAGAGTCAAATCGAAGCGTCAAATAGTGCGCTTACAGCGCAGTTGTAAACATTCTAATTGTTTTGCTGCTAAACTGCTAAATAGTACATTTTGGGCGTGCTCTTCATATCTGAGAGTCAAATGGAAGCGTCAAATAGTGCGCTTACAGTGCAGTTGTAAAAATTCTAATTGTTTTGCTGCTAATCTGCTAAATAGTAAATTTTGGGGCCTGCTCTTCAAATCTGAGAGTCAAATAGAAGCGTTAAATACCAATATAACAACATTGAAATTCGGGGTAATACCCTCGCAAGTCAAACTGAGGTCAGTTTAAAGGGAAAACTGTTGCTTAGATACAATTCTAAAACAATTTCCATATGTCCTTTGCAGACTTTACATGCTGGAAAAACACAGGTGCCAACTGCTGTGGCTTTCTGCAGTGTTCAGACCGACAATGAGGGCATGGTTGAGGAGTGGGTGGAAGATGATGTGGAGGATGATGAGGTCCTAGACCCCACATGGAATCAAGGTCATGCGAGTGACGTGTGCAGTTTGGAGGAAGAGGCGCTGGTCGCACAGAAGCACCAGCACAGCATAAGAGGGAGCAGGGTGCAAAAGCGGAGCGGCAGTCCCCTAGCGCTCGTCGGCATGTATTATCTTTAGAATTCCCACAGTTATCCAAGAAACAGATGGAGCGAAGTTAGGAGTCACAGTGTGCAGTGGATAAGCAGGGTCTGGTGCAGGGTAACCGCATGCCCCCTGGTGTTGAGCACCAGCGTTTGTGTGGCCACATACCAGGACCCTGTTGCAGCTTCAGTAAAAAGAGTACTGGATACCAGAAGCCATCACCAGACTGATCCGCAACTTGGAACAGAATGTGGCATTCACTGTAGCGGCTGTGCACGCTTTCGGCGTTCTCACCCGGCTGCTGCTCGCCTGTCTGCGCTGCAGTGTAACTTTGGCTTTCCCGCTCACTGCCTCATATGTGACGTGCCCACAAGGTGGAACTCCACCTTGCACATGCTGGAGAGACTGTGCGAGCAGTAGCAGGCAATAGTGGAGTTCCAGCTGCAGCACGCACTGTTCAGTTGCTCTGCACCAGACCTGCCCTCCAATTGATCAGAGTTAAAGGATTTCAAGTGGACTCATTACAATTACAGGGCCTCTAAAGAGTCCTGTATTGTTATTTGTCATCACCACCTCCCTGCATCTGGAGTGGGTCATTTGCGCACCTGCTGTCTTCCTTGCATGTGATAGTCGTTTGTTAGGGTCCCTGTATGGAATCGAACCCTGATTCCACATTACCCGTGGTAACCATGGTAGGCACAGTAAATGGCATAGAAAGTTGATATGGATTGACATACGAATGCGTCGTCGCCTTGCCATTGGGGAGCAACTCTGCATGGGAGTTCTCCCATTTCCGGGTCTCCCTAAACTTTCGGCGGTATTACTCGGGGGTGACCGCATAATAAAGGGATAGTCTCTGATCTGCTCTTCTGGTACAGCCTGGTAAATTTCCACTGCCTTCCCCACTAGTTTGCTGGCCAGGATGGTGACCCAATCGCTGTGGTCCACGTCTTGGAGTAGGCACTGGCGCTCAAAGTCTTGTAAAAAGTAATCGATGCCTTCTTCTGCTTCCTTGAAACTTGTGGGCCAGGGTGGTTGTGCTTCCCGGCACCCTCTGCTCCCTTCTTCCTTCATCTGGGTTCATGGAGGTCGCCCTCTGTCTATTGGCAAGGACATAGGCTTGCACCTCCAAAAAGGTCCTGCTAACAATCTCCTCTGAGGGTGACTCTCGGTAAAATGCCAGGCGCCGTTCCACCTCCTTGTGCACTTCCTCCTCATCTCCGGCCCCTGGCTGGGGTTTGTTGCCTCACTGCATGCCTGGTCGTCCTCCATGAGCGCAGCGGTCAATTTGGCCTTGTTACGCTCACCAGGCGTTATTCCTCTGGCTCCACACAAGTCCTGCAGTGTAGGTCGCTTTAGAGCACTGTAGTCCATGGGTCTGTTGGCAGGGACATGGGATCCCGCCGCTTGCCACCAATTGAAGTGGGACCTGGGTAACTGATGGTTATCCCCTTTGATTAGAATAGGTCAGACCCATTTCCCCAGTAACTGGATGGGACACAGTTCCAGGATACAACGTTTGACAATCTTTATTTGGGTACACAGCTTTGCCTCCTGTTGCCTCCTCCTCCTCCACCGCCGCTTCCACCTACACCGCCACGGTGTATACCCAGATATATCAGAGCTGCTGCAGAAAGTGCGGGCCTTCTGTGCGTGCTTTCAGCGTTCTCACCCTGCTGCTGCTTGACTGTCTGCGCTGCAGCGTAACTTTGGCATTCCTGCTCACCGCTTCATGAGACTGTGCGAGCAGCAGCAGGCGATAGTGGAGTTTCAGATGCAGCACGCACGGGTCAGTCGCTCTGCGGAACAGTTTTCTTTTTTTATATGTCCCAATATTTTGGGGGCTACCCCAATTAAAAAACAAAAATATATATAAAAAACAGTGTTGGCTATCTCCTCCTCCTCCACCGCTGCTTCCACCTACAGCGCCACGGTCACCGCCTCCTCAACCTATGGGTCACTTAGTATAAACTATGTACACAATAGCAGAGGCTTGTGAAGGCCTTTTCTCCATGCATCAGGAGTTGAGCTCAGTTTGAACAATGAAAGAGAAAACCCTGCACTCAAACCCTCTCTCAAATGGATAATTCTGGTGATCCTCCTGACAGCCATGCTTTAGATTTTAATTTATGTTCTTCCAAAGTTAAAATCAAAGATTCCATCTAGTGCTATTTTATGGCTCAGCTGTATTTTAAAATTTTATGTTATTTTAAGTGATTTCCCTATCCACATTTGTTTGCAGGGCACTTGTCCTACTCTTACCCCCATTTTACTTCCTTTTGCAGCCCTTTAGCCCTTTCCAGGACTTTTTTAGAGGCATTTTTGTGGCCAAATGTTCGGGTCCCCATTGACTTCAATGGGGTTCGGGGTCAAGTTCGATCACGAACCCAGACTTTTTTTCAAAGTTCGGCCGAACCCAGGTGTCCGCTCAACTCTAGAGAATAAACCAATGACAGCTAATGTTGTTGGGTTAGTTCTGTTTCCCAGAGACACTATGTTGTATTGTTAAATGTGATGCAAAGTAGTAAAAGTATGATAATGGGGACCTGTAGACACATTATATTGGTGTTTCCTCCACTTTTACATCTTGGCACTACTTTTCACAACAGAATACTTTAATAACTCTCCATATTACATCATGAAATGTAAGTTATCCATGCTAACTGGCACTAAAAATGTCATGTAGAAACCAACATTGTTTAATTATTTAAAGATCCTCGCCATCTGGTCATGGATGAGGTTTGAGGGGAATACTAGGTCCTTCACCTTTGATATCATAATTAGGGCCCCCATATACCGCCTATTAATAGTGAGTGGCCGGGGGGGACAATAAGTCCTCCTCAAGAATATAATTTTGGACCTCAGTCTCCACCAATGGATGGACACCAGGGGATGCTAGGTGTTCCTCCCTTGGGTGTGCCCCCCCCCCCCCATTTACTTTATTAAATAGTTCCCATCGCCACAGGTGGGGACAGGGAGCTGGACAGTGATCTGTCCCTTTCACCTTTTTTAAAGTCCTGCAGATGCCCACAAGTCTCAATGGCCTGTATGCAGCCATATGATTTCGTCCCACTGAGAGCGTATCTGATTCAGACTTTAGAGAACAACCCCACTAGTATGTTTAAGAGCAATCCCATTCAAATACAAATTTTTACAACTGGTTTATGAAGGTGGCACGGCAGACCATGCCTCTCATGTGAATTTGTGCATGTATCTGCAATCTTTTCATCTACTGTATCTGGTAAATCATACAATATTCAAGATTAATAATTGTAATTCAGCTTTTGTGTCCTACCTCCTCACCTGTATGCAGGGCTGCCATCAGAAATTGTGAGGCCCTTTACACAGTTCAAGGCGTGAGCCCCCAGGGTTCTGCCAACAGGGTGTGTAGTGAATGCAGTGTCTGTGTTTGTGTAGTAAATGTAGTGTGGTGTATTTGAGTAGTGAAAGCAGTGTGTGTGTTTGTGTAGTGGATGCAGTGTGTGTGTTTATAGTGGATACAGTGCATGCATCTTTGTGTTGGACAAGGGCTGTGGGACTGGTGTTGATTTTCTGGCACTGTGACAGATCACCCTGTCCCGGAATTATTGTTTTACATTGAATGGTCCGGTATACGAACATCACCAAACAGATTGCTCCATTTGGTTCATATACCGAACAAAGTACCAGACGGACAGACCACCCAGAACAGTCGTGTGCTGCTCATTGACCTGCCTGACCTTATTAACACCTTCGCAAATCGCAATTATCAACGTTCCAAGTGGTTGGCTTGGTGGCCGCCGTTCGTATGGACGAATACGAAGTGGCGGCCATCTTGGTTTCGCAAATGCATACAGCGGTATTTGGTCATCGAGTGTATGGAACTAATATCGGCCACTCAGCGGTGCGAACACTGCTGGGACTTCCACCACCATGTATGTTCAGTTCCATTCGACTAAAAAGAGCAGCGTTCGGTAGAAACAAACTCCTGAACGAGGGGCACATGACTAACTTATATACGAATGACTACTTTCGTTATTTTATTGTGTTTTTGTATTCCCGAGAGAGACCGACTGCTCAGCCTGAATCTATGAAACTCTTCTGGGCAAGTAATTCGCGTGCGGTCGGTCTAACTAAATTCCGGCGGCGTTTCGGCTACGTTGGGCACTCAGATCCAGGCTATCCGGGAATATAGTAAAAACAAAATATAAAAGAAGGGCTGCGCCAAGCTAAAATAGATAATATCCAGTCCAGGGGTCAAGTCCTGTGGAAAAAAGTGTGGGAACTCACCCAAGATTCCCGCTTCACCCCCCCCTTAAAAAAAAAAAAATTACATTCCTATGCATATAGTGCAGTGCAGGGTGTGTATAATGAATGTAGTGTGTTTGTAGTGAATGCAGAGTATGAATTATAAATGTAGTGTGTTTGTAGTGAGTGCAGAGTGTGTATAATGAATGCAGTGTGTTTTAGTGAGTGCAGAGTGTGTATAATGAATGCAGTGTGTTTTTAGTGAGTGCAGAGTGTGTATAATGAATGCAGTGTGTTTTTAGTGAGTGCAGAGTGTGTATAATGAATGTAGTGTATTTAGTGAGTGCAGTGTGTATAATAAATGTAGTGTGTTTGTAGTGAGTGCAGTGTGTATAGCGAATGCAGTGTGTATAGTGAATGTAGTGTTTTTGTAGTGAGTGCAGAGTGTGTATAATGAATGCAGTGTGTATAGTGAATGAAGTGTGTTTTTAGTGAGTGCAGAGTGTGTATAATGAATGCAGTGTGTTTTTAGTGAGTGCAGAGTGTGTATAATGAATGCAGTGTGTTTTTAGTGAGTGCAGAGTGTGTATAATGAATGTAGTGTATTTGTAGTGAGTGCACCGTGTATAATAAATGTAGTGTGTTTGTAGTGAGTGCAGTGTGTATAGCGAATGCAGTGTGTATAGTGAATGTAGTGTTTTTGTAGTGAGTGCAGAGTGTGTATAATGAATGCAGAGTGTGTATAGTGAATGTAGTGTGTTTGTAGTGAGTGCAGAGTGTGTATAATGAATGTAGTGTGTTTGTAGTAAGTGCAAATTGTATATAATGAATTTAGTGTGTTTGTAGTGAGTGCAGAGTGTGTACAATGAATGCAGTGTATGTAGTGTGTAGTGAGTGCAGAGTGTGTACAATGAATGCAGTGTGTTTGTAGTGAATGTAGTGTGTAGTGAGTGCAGAATGTGTATAATGAATGCAGAGTGTGTATAGTGAATGTAGTATGTTTGTAGTGAGTGTATAGTTAATGTAGTGTGTTTGTAGTGGTGGCGTATAATGTAAGATACGGTGTGTGCGTGTGCTGGATGATGTGTGTGTGGGTGCTGGATGATGTGTGTGTGACTGCGTGTGCTGGATGATGTGTGTGTGTGAGGTGCTGGATGATGTGTGGTGGTGACTGCGGGTGTGCTGGATGATGTGTGTGTGGGTGCTGGATGATGTGTGTGTGTGTGTGGGTGCTGGATGGTGTGTGTGTGACTGGGTGTGCTGGATGAGTGTGTGTGTGGTCTGGATGGTGTGTGTGTGTGAGGTGCTGGATGATGTGTGTGTGTGGAGTGCTGGATGAGTGTGGGTGTGGTGCTGGATGATGTGTGTGTAGGAGTGCTGGATGATGTGTGTGAGGTGAGTGCTGGATGGGTGTGTGGTGTGGATGATGGGTGTGAGTGCTGGATGATGGGTGTGAGTGCTGGATGATGTGTGAGTGCTGGATGATGGATGTGAGTGCTGGATGATGTGTGTGTGAGTGCTGGATGATGGGTGTGTGTGTGCTGGATGATGGGTGTGTGAGTGCTGGATGATGGGTGTTTGTGTGCTGGATGATGTGTGTGTGAGTGCTGGATGATGTGTGTGTGAGTGCTGGATGATGTGTGAGTGAGTGCTGGATGATGTGTGTGTGTGTGTGTGTGTGCTGGATGATGTGTGTGTGTGTGCTGGATGATGTGTGTGTGTGTGTTGGATGATGGGTGTGTG